GTGCTGCGCGCTCGCGGGCGCGCGGCACCTGTCGCCCCAGGGCTCCTTCGACGGGTCCTACGCGGACGCCGACGGGCCGCCCGACGCGCCGCGGCGGCCGCCCGAGGCGCTCGACGACGCGTACGCGCTCGGCGACGCGCTCGGCCGCGGGTCCTACGGCGTCGTCGCGCGCGGCGCGCGGCGCCGCGACGGCGCCGCGTTCGCCGTCAAGACCATCGGCCTCGGCGGCGACGCGTCCTGGGACCGGCTCCACAGCGAGATCGCGGCGATGCGGCGCCTCGACCACCCGAACGTCGCGCGCCGCGCCGAGATCCGCCGCCCGCTCCGGGGGCGTCCCGACGGGCCGTCCGCGTCCCTCGAGCGCCGTCGCATCGCCGCTTGGACGAGCGCGCGCCTCGCGTCGGGCGCGTCGCGGAGCGCGCGCGCGTCGACGCGGCCGCGCGCGCCGCCCCGTCGACGGCGGGGCGACGACCCGCGGCCGGCGCAGGTCGCGCGGCTCCACGAGGTCTACCACGCGGCCGGCGACGCGCGGCGCCGACGCCGGGGCGATTCGACCGCGCTCCGGCGCGCGCGCGGGTCCGGCGCGCGCGCGACCCCCCGCGGGGACGCTCCCGAGCGACGATCGCCCGTCCGAGCGCGGGCCGGCGCGAGCGGGAGGCGGCCGAGGGGCGGCGCGTCCGGGGCGGGACGTCCCCGCGCCGCCCAGGCGAGGCGCACCTCGTCATGGACCTGTGCACCGGCGGCGAGCTCTGGGAGTACCTCCTCGCGCCGCCGCCGGTCTGGGAGCCGCCCCTGCCGGCGGCCGCGCGCGCGCCGCCGCCGGCCGACGGCCGGCGGCCGCGGAAGCCGCGGCCGCTCGACGAGGGCACGGCGCGCCGCTTCGCGCGCGAGATGGCGTCGGCCGTGCGCCACCTCCACGACCGCGGCGCCCGCCCGCGCGGGACCCGAAGCTCCGAGGCGACTCGGAGGCGCGCGCGCGCGGCGGCTTCGACGCGAGCGCGTCGACCGTGCGTCGAGCACTCGGCGAGAGCAAACGGCTCGTCCGAACCGTCGGCCGAAGACGGCTCCGACGCGACGGGGCTCGCGAGGGTCGACGTTCCGTCCGGAGACCCCGAGACCGCGGTCGCAGGCGTCTGCCACCGGGACCTCAAGCCCCAGAACTGGCTCCTCGCGTCGCGCCAGCCCTGGGCGCCCCTGCGGCTCGTCGACTTCGGCCTCGCGCGCGCGTTCGACCGCGGCGGCCGGCGCCGCGCGTCGTCGGCGAACGACGACACGTCGTGCTGCTCGCTCGACGACTGCGGCGCCGCGGCGTCGCTCGGCGCGAGCCCGGAGCCGGAGCGGCGCCGGGACGGCGGCGCGCCGCGCGGCGGCGGCGCCGCCGCCGCGCCGGGCGGCGGCGCGCCGCGCGGCGCCGCCGCGGCGCCGCCGCGCGCCGCGGCCGACGGCGCGGGGCCGGCGCCGGGCGAGCCGCCCCTGAAGCGCCAGTCCTGGGGCGACCTGACGGCCCTGCGCGAGCCGCGCCGGGGCGCCGAGTTCGACGGCTCGCCGGCGCTCCGCAAGGCGCGGAGCAGCGGCGCGCTCCGGGCCGGCGACGCGGCGCCCGCGCGGCCGCCGCCGGGCGCCGGCGCGCGCCGCGGGGCCCCCGGCACGCTCAGCGACCGCGTCGGGTCCTTCTACTTCGTCGCGCCGGAGGCGCTCCGCGGTGTGGGAACCAACCAGTGGAACGCCCCGTCCAGCCAAAACTTCAAACCTCTCGAGCTCGGTCGCGTCGGCGTCGATTCGACCGATTTTTGGACGGATCGTCTTCTCTCGGCGAGTTCTTTTCATACCGGGAAAAGCAGACGTCGATCGACGTCGTGCGCATACGTGCATGTTGACGTCGTGTTGCCTATGTTTGTTGCCCGCCCAGGTGCTCCGCGGCGCGCACGACGCGCGCTGCGACCTCTGGAGCCTCGGCGTCATCGTCTACATCCTCCTCTGCGGCGCGCCGCCCTTCGCGGGCCGGACGGACCGCGACATCCTGACCAAGGTCGCGCGCGCGCCGCGGGGCTCCGCGCGCGAAACCGGCCGCCGCTTCGGGGCGCCGCGCCGGACCGCCCGACGCGCGCGAGCTCGGCCGGCGTCGATCGTCGGACGCGGCGGCGCGGTCCCGGGCGCGCGCGCGCGCGAGCGCCGCGCCGGAGCGCCGCGGCGCGCGCAGGCTCGGCTTCCCCGCGCGGCTCTTCGGCCACGTGAGCGACGCCGCCGTGGACTTCGTCACCAAGCTCCTGGACCGCGACGTCGACGCGCGGCTCACGGCGGACGGCGCGCTCCGGGAGCCGTGGCTCGCGGCGCGCGAGGCGCGGGGCCCGGGGCGGCCGCGGCGGCGGCCCGAGGCCGCGGCGGAGACGCTCGCGGCGGCGCGGGCCTTCGCGCGCCTCGACGCGCTCCGGAAGCTCGTCGCGTCCGTCGTCGCCGCGCGCCTCGGCGCGGCGGAGCTCGAGCCCGTCCGCCTCGACTTCGCGGACTTCGACGCGGACGGCGACGGCGAGCTGAGCCTCTCCGAGTTCTACGGGGCCCTGGGCGGCGAGGGCGCCGTGCCCGTCGAGGAGGCCGCGGCGCTCTTCGACGCCGCGGACGTCGCCGGCGACGGCGGCGCCGTCGCGCTCCGCGAGTTCGCGGCGATCCACGCGTGCGGCCGCCTCGCGCCGACCGAGGCCCAGCTCTTCGACGCCTTCGACGTCCTCGACGACCAGGGCGCGGGGCTCCTCGGCGCCGACGACCTCCGCGGCGCCGTCGGCGCGGGCCGCTGCGTCGGCGCGGACGACGAGGACGTCGCCGCCGCGCTCGAGCACCACCGCGCGGGCGACGACGACGACGCCCTCCTCGACTGGCCCCAGTTCCGCGCCGCCTGCGCGCCCCTCCTCCGCGGCGGGGCGGCAGCGCCCTAAGACGCGGACGGGGACCGTGACGACCGGGGCAGACGGCGCGCGGGGACGACCGGGGCGCTCGCGGGGGCGGAGCGGGGACGGAGCGGCCTCGACGGCGAGGCCGGCGGCGCCAAGCGCGGCGGCGGCGCGCTATCGGCGGGAGCGAGTACGTCCGCATCCCCGCCAACGTGGCCCCCATGGCGCGCGTCGAGGATGGCCGCGCCCGTCGGCCCCGCGTAGAGGTATGCCGCGGCGAAAGGTAGACTTCAAGTAACTTAGTTGCCTTCAAACTGCCACAACACTAGTGCACGAAGCGACGTGACGCCCGCGATGCCTCGTTGACGTCGGAGCTATGCGCCGCTCGACGTCCATGGAGTCGGACCTCGCGCCGCGCCTGCCGCGCGGCGGCGCGCGGCGCAAGGAGTCGGACGCCGCCGGGGTCGCCGCGCCGCCCGGCGCGAAGCATCGGCTCGCGGCGTGGTGCGCCCCCGGCCGGGCCTGCGCCGCCGTGTGCCTCGTCGCCGTCGCGCTGGTCGCCGCGGCGTGGAGCCGGCGGTCCGCGGACCTGAGCGTGCGCGCGTCCCACATGTCGTTCCGGCAGCGCGCGGGCGACGCGTACTGGCTCGCGCGCGCGAAGGCGTCCGAGGTCGCGCGGCTCGGGCTCGCGCCAAAGCGCGGCGGCCGCGGGCGCTTCAACGCGTCGGCCGCGCGCCTCGGCTGCGCGGCCCAGGACCCGCCCCTCGTCATGCACCTCAAGGTGCCCAAGGCCGCGTCGACGACGGTCTTCGACCTCGTCCACGAGCTCTCGGCGGCGAACGATTACGCGGTGAACTCGCGGCCCATGTACGTCGACGAGGCCCGGCCCCGGGCCTCGGCGCGCGAGTACGCGGCCTACTTCGCGGCGCGGCCGGACCGCACGGTGCGCACGGCGCACGGCGCCTACGTCGACCTCCGGGCCGCGGGCGTCGCGCGGCCGTGCTACGTCGCCGTCGTCCGCGAGCCGCTCCGGCGGCTCGAGAGCCACTACGACTACATCCACTGGGGCCCGCGGTCGCGCTGGGCGACGTTCTGGAAGGGCCAGGACCGGGCCGCGCCGTCCTTCCGCGCGTGCGCGGCGAAGCACGCGGCCGCGCGCGCGCGCGGCGGCCGCGCGCTCGCGGGCGCCGCGGCCGACAAAGGCGACTGCCTCTACTGGGCCAACGCGCAGCTCGCCTACTTCTGCGGCGTCGGCGGCGGCTGCGCGCTCCGCGCGCTGCGGACGCGCGCCGGCGGCGCGGCGGCGCTCGCGCGCGCGCTCGCGAACGTCGACCGCGACTTCGCACTCGTCGGCGTCGTCGAGGACCTCGCGGGCTCGCTGGCCGTCCTCGAGCGCGTGCTGCCGACCTACTTCGCCGGCATCACCGCCGCCTACGACGCGCAGGCGACGCACAGCCGCGCGAACGGCGCGACGCCGCATGACGACCTCGACGACGCCGCGGCGGCGACCGTGGAGCCCTTCCTCCGCCACGTCCTCAAGTGGGAGTACGCCCTCTACGACCGCCTCAAGCGCAAGTTCGCGGACCAGAAGCGCGCCTGCGGCCTCGCGGAGCCGCCCCGCGCGCGGGCCCACTAAGCCCGGGCGGATCGTCGACGTCGAGTCGGGCCCGGACCGTCGGGCCGACCCCCGGGGACTTCCCCGGGGCCAGGGCCGCGCTCCGCGCGGTGTCGACCACCGAAGTGTGCGAGGCAGCCCCACCGATGGAGCCCTTCGACGACGTGCCGCCGCCGCCCAAGCCCAAGCCGGAGACGGCGGCGCAGTTCGGCGAGCGCATGCGGGCCGACGACGTCGTGGGCAGCACCTACCTCGTCGTCGCGCCGCGCGGCGTCATCCTGCGGTCCGGGCCGGACCTCGAGGCCGACATCGTCGGCGAGGTGGCCCAGGGCGCCCTCGTCGAGGCCGTGGCGTGCGAGATGCTCGGCGACCGCGTGCGGGCGCGCGTCGTCGGCGACGGCTGCGACGGCTGGGCGACGCTCAAGCCCACGCTCATGGCGCGCGCGTCCGAGCCCGACCCCGCGGCCGCGGCGGCCGCGGCGGCGCCGCCGCCGCCGCCGCCGCCGCGCGCGCGGGGCGCGGCGCCGGCGGTGGGCGGGAAGCTCTACGCCGTCGACGGCGTGGCGCCGACGCTGCCCGCGTCGGGCCGCTGCTGGATCGCGCCCGGCGCGCGCGTCGTGGGCGCCGTCGCGCTCGGCGACGACGTGTCGATCTGGTTCAACGCGGTGCTCCGCGGCGACAACGACGCCATCACCGTCGGCGACGGGTCCAACGTCCAGGAGAACGCCGTGCTCCACTGCGACCCGGGCGCGCCCTGCGCCGTCGGCCGCGGCTGCACGATCGGCCACCGCGTCACGCTCCACGGGTGCTCCGTCGGCGACGGCACGCTCGTCGGCATGGGCGCCGTGGTGCTCAACCACGCGAAGATCGGGCGGAACTGCCTCGTCGGCGCCGGGTCCCTCGTGGCCGAGCGCGCGACCTTCCCGGACAACTCGCTCGTCGCCGGCAACCCGGCGAAGCTCGTCCGCGCGCTCACGGACGCGCAGGCCGCGGGGCTCCGCGCCGGCGCCGCCGACTACGCCGCCCTCGCGCGCAAGCTCCGGGGCGGCCTCGTCGAGGTCGACGCCGCCGCCTGCGTGCCCGAGGCCCGGACCTGCGTCCTCTAGGCGCGCGCCGTTAGCGGAGGACGGCGAACTGCGTCAGCGCGACGGACGTGAACCGGGCCGCGTGCTTCCCCGCGCAGACGTCGATGGGCGTCCGCGGGCCGAAGATCTTCGCCTGGCGCACGTGCGTGTCGCGGCCGTTCTGGTGCATGGAGACGACGCAGACCTGGAGGAAGAACGCGCGGAGCGCCTTGCCGTCGCCGTGCGACAGGGCCACGGTCACCCAGCCCGTCGGCTCGTGGAGGTCGACGACCTCGACCTCGACGAGGTCGTGGAACGTCGTGCCCGCGCGGATCGACATCTTCTTGGGCGTGTAGCTCTCGTCGAGGCCGTAGTCGAGGTAGAAGGCCATCTCGGAGATGGACATCTTCTTGTGGAACTGGATGTTGATGAGGTGCGGCTGGCCGCCGTCGCTCTGCCAGTACGTCTCCGTGTTCTCGTCGCCTGCGCGCGGAACGACTCGCGAGCCGGGCCGGCCCGGCGAAACTTCGGAACTCTCGAGCTCGGTCGAACCGGAGCCGTCGCGGCTCATTGCTGGACGAGTCGTTTGCGCTCGTCGATATCTCGATGGAACGACGACGAACGCCCGCAATACCGAACGCGCTCGCGTCGAAGTCGCGCGGCGCACGTCGTTTCCCGCCCGGCGCGGCGCGGATCTGCTCGACGCCGTTGCCCGGCTTGGCCGTCGACAGCGACCAGACGGCCTCGTCGCCGATCTCCCGGTTCGCCGGGCTCACGTCGAGCTCGCTCGTGCCCGTGCGCGCCTCGGCCTGCGCGGCCATCGCCTGCGACGGGCGCGCGGCGTCGGCGGCGCGGCGGCGGCGCGCGCGCGCGCGGCGGCGGCGCGCGACGCCCTCAGCGAACCTTTCCTGTGCTCTCGTCACCCGTGCCGCAGTGCCGCGGCGGCGCGCGCCGCGGGCGCGGGGCCGGCCCGCGGGAGCCGCGGCGGCCGGCCCGGCCCGGCGTGCAAGGCGCGCCGCGCGGCCGCGGCGGTCATATAAGATCAAGTGGTGCTTTCTTCCCCGGACGCGACGACGAAATCGATGCGACGCTGCGGCGCGCTGTGTGCACTACGACGTGGCTTTGGCGCTCGGCAACTACCTCAAATTCATGTCATGCTGTGTCGATCAACGCGGTCGACACCTCTGTCGCGATCGGCCCGGTCAGTGGCCGCACGAGGCGTCGCACGAGGCGTCGGAGCTGACTTGAGCTGCGGGGTTCCGGGGAGGACAAGTTAACCCGCGTTGTTCCCAGCCCTCAGAAACCGACGCGTTTGGACGCGTGGAACAGGCCCTCGAATTTAATTCGAACATTTTTCTAAGAAATTTGCCCATTCGTCCCCGCCAGCACTCTGGAATTTTCCACCGCGCGTCGCCATCGGTAAGATTTTGCTTACTTGGACCACCAACCGCTTCCGACGGCGGGCGCCGTAAGCTCAGCGCGGCCGGTGAATTTAATTGGAGGACCGCGTCTCGTAGTAAGAACAAACGTTTTGGGTTGTTCATTGAAGTAATCATTGAAAACTTCATCGAAATCGTACAAAACTGCATCGTTTCGACCGACGGATAACGCTGCGATGATGTGATGCGCCGGCACCTCGCCGTTTTGCGCCAGGTGGTGCACGAAAAGCGCGCGTGCTGCGCCGGGCAGCGACGACGGGGTTCGTGAGCGCAAAAAATCCTGCTGGCGGCCTTCCGCGGCGAGACTGTCGATCACTGCGACTGCGGGGCGCGCCCCCACTCGATTTTTGCATCCCCGGGTTCATATGCCGTGACAGCTGGCATGGGGCAACTCATCACCTCTCTACGGTCGCCCTGCGACTGAATTAGGTTCGAAACTCCCCCGCGCGCGCGACGACGACGACGACGGCGGCGGCGGCGGCGGCGGCGGCGGCGGCGACGACGACGACGACGACGACCGACCGACCGACCGACCGACCCAGAAAATAGGTGCCAGGAACTAGCCCGGGACCCAGGGGAAGTCACCCGAGGTCCCCCCGAGTACGCCCCAGTCGGTTTGGTTTAAATTTTACCACCCCAGACCCCAAAGCCCGAGTTCACTCTCGCACGGCGCGTCAGCGACCGCCGCGTCCGCACAGGAGCCGCAGCTATACGGGCGAAGCCTCGTACGCTGGCGGCGCCGTCGTCCCTCCACGATCTCGGCGCCCGAGCGCTCCCCACCTCCAGCCGCGCTCCTCCGGCGGCAAGATTCCGGTCGGGCGAGCAACCGAGGCGCAGGTCGACGTAAAATAGACGATTATGACCAGAGCCAGCCGGGGAGACCGGGGGTTTTGCACAGGGGCCTAGGAGCCGCGCGCGGCCGCCACCGGCGCGCGGTCGCGGTGCGCGATGAAGTCGATGGCCACGGACCAGGCGAGGTTGCCGACGGCGACGAACTTGACGCGGTGCGCCGCGGCGACGTAGGAGAAGTTGGCGAAGCTGTACGGGATCCAGAAGGCGGAGCAGCTCGCGTAGGCCGTCGCCCACTCCGCGCCGAGCGCGGCCCGCGCCTGGCCCGGGGACTGGCCCTGGAGGGCGCCGACGGCGAAGAAGTAGGCGGGGATGTAGACCAGGCCGCAGTGCGCGTTGTCCAGGAGCGAGCAGCCCGCGCCGTGGAGCCGCGACGACGGCCGCGAGAGCGCGGCGACGCCCGCGGCGCGGCCGACGGCCGCGGTCCACCTCGGCAGGTAGCCGTAGAGCACGTGGAGGAGGCCGCCGCTGTACGCGCCGCTGAATAAAGCGAGGGACGCCGCGCGCCGAACGTCCACGTCGCGCCGGCCCTCGGCGGCCTGGCAGATCAAGTCGCCGGCGAGGCCCAGGGATCCGGCGGCGACGACGTCGGACCAGAACTTGGACGGCACGGTCTGGAGGAGCGGGATCGAGGCGCGCGCGGCCATGGCGCCGGGCCCGCGGCCGGTGAGGCCGCAGAACGCGCGACGCAGAACGAGAACCCAGACGAGGACGCACGAATCTCTGTGGAGAAAAGACACAGTGCAACTTATAAAGTTGAAGAAATGCATGTCCCGTGCTATAAACCTCAGCTGGCTCCGGACGCTCTCGGGCGAGCTGCTCCAGTTATCTGAGTACCTCGGCTCTAGACTGCGTGCCAGTGGTCCATTTAGGCTTCAAAAAGAGATTTAATGCCACCGCCGCTTGCCCTAGGCCTAGGCTAGGCCGAACCAAACAACCTCCGTGCGCCGCTACCGACCGGTTTTACAACGGCACATAGTCTATTAATCCAAATTGCTGGGTATTTCGTAGTGCTAGTTAGTGACGTGGAAGTATTCGTCCGCGCTGCCCGGGGAATCGACGGCCTGGTTGGCGAGCGCGTCGGCCTCCTGGTTCTCGTCGCGGCGGATGTGGGCGAGGGTGTGGTTGGCGAATTTCCCGAGGACCTCGCGCGCCTCGTCGTAGAGGGACCTACCGTGGACGACACCTGGGATCGGACTCGGTCCGCGTTCCGGGCGGAGCGACACCGCGCGCCCGTCGTCGGACGCCGACGGGGAGACTCGAGCTTCGCCGAGCGGACCTCGAAGATGCCTTTGAGCTGGTTCACGACGAGCTGCGAGTCGCCCTGGACGCGAAGGGTCCCGCGGATGCCTTGGCGCCGCGCGGACTTGAGGCCCTGGATCAGGCCGACGTATTCGGCCATGTTGTTCGTGCACCGGGCGGAGCCGATGCGGACGCAGCCGGTCTCGACGACGCGACCGTCGTGGTCCGACAGCACGTAGCCGGCGCCGCCGCGGCCCGGGTTCGGCTTGGCGGAGCCGTCGAACCGGAGGGTCGCCTCGTGGCGGCTCGCGCCGTTCGTCAGCCGGAGCGTGCCCATCTCCGAGTAGTGGCGCACGAGCAGGCGGCCGAGGCGCTCGTCGACGTCGCCGCAGCTGCTCGACGACCGGTGGTGCTGCGTGAGCTGCGCCGCGCGCGAAAAGGTCCGCCCGCAGCCGCGGCACTCGTAGTTCGCGCCGTCGTGCGCGCCGCTCGCGAGGTGCTGCCGCAGGCTGTTGAGTCTCGGCCAGCCGCGGTCGCAGATGCCGCACACGTACTCGCCGCGGTCGTGGTCGTAGCTGTCCTCGTCGGCGATGAGCGTGTCGTAGCGGGCGCCCCGCGACGACGTGAAGCGCTGCTGCTGGCGGCTCCGCTCCCAAAGAGAGATGCCCCGATGCACGTTCGACGCGCCCGCGCACCGCGAATTCTCGCTGTGTTGCAATAAACTCACGTGATTCGCGAAATATCGACCGCAAGTTGGGCAGGTGCTCATCGCGACGGGCAGCGCCGAGATCGTACCTGATGTGACAATGGACGGACCGGGCAGCGCAGAGCACGAAGTTCCAGAGGCTGGCGTATTATAATTATTATTTTTGTTCACCGATCTCACGTGGAGGGAGCCGCATGGTAGGCAGAGGGGGCCGACCACCAGGCATACACCAGCCGGGCATACACCGGCATAGCAGCCGCATAGCAGCCGCATAGCGGACGCATAGCGGACGCATAGCGGACGCATAGCAGCCGCATACCACCCGCATAGCAGGCGCATAGCAGGCGCATAGTAGACGCATAGCAGGCGCATAGTAGACGCATAGTAGACGCATAGTAGACGCATAGTAGACGCATAGTAGACGCATAGCAGGCGCATAAGACCAGCATAGCAGGCGCATACCACCAGCATAGCAGCCCGGCGACCGCTGTCGACGACCCCAGGCGACGGCCGCCGGAGGTCGCCGCATAGCAGGCGCATACCACCAGCATAGCAGCCGCATACAACCCGCATACAACCCGCATACAACCCGCATACGACCCGCATAAAACCCGCATACCACCCGCATACCACCCGCATACCACCCGCATACCACCCGCATACCACCCGCATACGACCAGCATAGCAGCCGCATACCACCCGCATAAAACCCGCATAAAACCCGCATACCACCCGCATAAAACCCGCATAAAACCCGCATAGTAGGCGCATACTACCAGGCATACCGGCGGTCAACCCCCTCGGATGGTAGGGGCAGAGCTCTCAGACAGAGGAGGGGAACTCCAACCGTCGGTGACGGCCCGTACCAGCCGGCACGGGCCGCTGCGGGCGGCTGCGAGGTCCTCGCACCGAGCCGACCGATGAGTCGCGCCCTCGAGACAGACGAGGCAGTCGACGCGATCGCCCGCGGCGCAGCCAGCGGCTAGCGCTCCTTGTCCTACGCCCAGCCGGTCGCCTGCGCGAAGCTCTGGTTCGACGCGCGCCGGCGGGATATGTTACGCGGCGCGCGCCCCCCGCGCGCCCGGCCGGTCAGTCGCGGTCGAAGCGGCGGGCGCCGACGGGGTGGGTCGGCGAGCCCGCGGCCGGCGGCGGCGCGTAGGCGCCGCCGTAGTGCCGCGGCGGCGGCGAGGGCGGGAAGAGGGGCGCGGGCTGGGGCTTGGGGACGCCGTCCGTCGCGAGGAGGCGGAGCATGGCCTCGTCCGTGTTCGCGCCCGGCGCGGCCGTGTCCGCGATGCCGACGGCCGGCGCGTTCGAGTCGCAGAACTGGGTCAGGAGCTCGATGCGCGCGCGGGCCCACTGCGCGCGCTCGCTCCGCTCGCGCTCGAGCTGGACGCCGAGGTGGTGCACGCGGTCCTCGAGGGCGCGGTTGTCGTCCTCGAGGCCCCGCGCGCGCGCGACGAGCGCGTCGTAGGACCGGAGCCGGTCCCGGAGCTGGCCGACCTCGGCCTTGACGCCGTCGGCGGCGACGAGCATCTCCTCGAACTGGCGCTCGCGGGCCTTGGCGTGCTGGCGCACCTCGCGGAGCTGCTCGCGCGCGGTGCCGAGCTCGAGCTCGAGCGGCTGCACGTGCTCCCGCTCGTGGCGCTCGCCCGCGAGGAGCCGGTTCTGGCTGTCGCCCAGCGCGCGCCGGAGCTCGAGGTTCTCGCCCTGGAGCTGCGCGCGGCTCCGCTCCGCGTCCGCGCGGAGCTTCTCCTTTGTGCCGAGGAGCTCCTTCTGCCTGTGTGGACATCGACCGCCGGTTCGGGACGTCCGCACCGAACGTCGACGCGCTCGAGCTCGGCCGCGTCGACGTCGATTCGGCCGATGTTTGGACGGATCGATGGCTCTCGTCGAGTGCTCGACGCACGGCCGAAACGTCCGGTCCACACCCTTCGATCACGCGCCCATTGAAGTCGGGTGGAAGATGCGAGTGCCGCGCGGCCTGCCGCTGCTCCGCGACGAGCGCGACGCCCGCGAGGCGCTCGTCGACCTCGCCGCGGCCCCGCAACGCCTCGACGGCCTCGGCCCGCAGCACGGCGGCGTCGTTGCGCCGCGCGTCGACCTCGACGCGGAGGCGCCGCTCCGTCTCCGCGTGGCCGTCGAGCGACTTCTTGAGCTCGCCGCCGAGCGCGCCTGGGCAGGACAAGAGAGATTCAACGTCGCTTCAACGTGCGTGTTCCGCGCGCGCGCGTTCCGGAAAAAGCATCCACGCTTCGAGACCGTTCCAAGAGATGATCGCTCGTCCAAAAATCAGCCGAAACGAGTGGAAAACGGCCGAGATCGGAGCCTTTGAAGTTGGGCATGTCGCTCTCTTGTCCTGCCCTGGAGCGCGCGGAGGCGCCGCTCGAGGCCCGCGCGCTGCTGGCCCTGCTGCGCGGCCGCCGCCTTCTCCGCGCCGAGGCTCCGCTCGAGGTCCTCGCAGCGCGCCGCCCAGGCCTCCTCGCGCTTCGCGAACGCGCGCCGCTCCTCGTCGCAGCGCCGCTGCGTCTGGCGGACCTCGTGGCGCAGGCCCTTGACGAGGTCCTCGGTGACGCGCGCGCGCTCCGCGCGCGCCCGCGAGCGCTCGAGCTCGGACCGCGCGTTGCCGAGGGTCGTCCGCAGCGTCTCGATGAGCACGTCCTTCTTGCAGCCCGACGACACGAGGCTGTGCATGAGCTCGGCGCTCTCCTCGGACGTCTTCTTCGACGCCGACCGCACCATCGCCGATCGCCGTCCCGCGGGGGGGGGCGTCTCGCGTCGCGCGCCGCCGCGGGGGCCGCTTCTCGTCGCCGCGAGTCGCACGCTAGGCGCCGGCCATCGATCCTCCGGGGCGTCGCGCCAAGGAACGGCATGATACGGCAGGCATGGATACGCGCTGATAACGAGCCGCGGCTGCAGCGCGCTGGTCGGCGTCGGCCATGGACGCGGCCTACCTCCAGTCGAGCGTCGGCGAGCCCCTCAAGGCGGCGCTGACGTCGCTCGTCGTCGTCCAGCCGCCCGACGCCATCGAGTACATCGGCAACTACCTCCTGGAGCACGTGAAGAAGGTCGAGGGCGAGGCGGCGCGCAAGGCGCGCTTCGACTTCCTCGACGAGGCCGTCGCGGCCCAGGACGCGGCCCTCGCCGAGGCGGCGGCCGCCGAGGAGGCGCGGCTCAAGGCCCTGGGCCCCACGGACGACGAGGTCGCCCTCGACGCGAGCCTCCTCGAGGACGACGACGTCGAGGCGCTCTACGACCGCGCGCTCGCGGCCTGCGCGCGCGCGTCCGGCGCCCGCGCGTGCTACGTCGGCGCCAAGGGCGCGACGGCGGCCGGGCGGCCCGTCGTCGCCTTCAGCCACGCGACGCCGGGCTGCGGCATGGCCGCGACGTGCCTCTTCGGCGCGACGCCGGAGACGGAGGAGGCCGACGAGGGCCTCACGCTCGACCTCTTCAAGCAGCGCGAGGAGTACGAGGCGGAGCTCGCCGCCGCCGACGAGGCGCTCGCCGCGGCCCAGGCGAACAGCGACGCGGCCCTCGCGGGCGGCGACGACGCGCCGGACCCGGCGGCGGCCGCCGCGGAGCTCGACGCGGCGGCCGCGGCCAAGGCGGGCCTCGCGCAGTACCCGGCGCGCGTCGCCGTGCCGAACGTCGCCCGCGAGCCCCGCGTCAAGTTCTTCGGCGTGCCCCTGCTCGGCTCCTACTGCGCCGTCGCCGTCCGCTACCGGAGCGGCCTCCACCCGGACGGCGTCGGCGAGCCGCTGCCCGAGCCCGAGCCCGCGGCCGAGGAGGCGGCGGCGGCCGAGGGCGCCAATGCGCCGGAGGAGCCGGCCCCGGCGGCCGAGGGCGACGAGGCGCCGCCGGCGGCCGAGGGCGACGACGCGCCGCCGGCCGACGGCGCCGAGCCCGCGGAGCCCGCGGAGCCCGAGGCGCCGCCGCCGCGCGCGCCCAAGGCCCAGGCCGTGCTCCTCCCCGTGGAGAAGGTGCTCTGCGTCCACACCATGGGCTCGTCGAAGGTGCTAAACGAGGCGGACATGGCCGCGGTCGCGGCCTGGGCGGCGAAGCTCGCCGCGGCGCACGAGCGCGCGGACGCGGCGCGCTGGGCCGCGTCCGCGATCCTGCGCGAGGACGCCCTCGAGGCCCAGGGCGCGCTCAAGACGGCGGCGACGACGGCCGAGGCCGAGGAGGAGACGAAGATGGAGGAGCTCCTCACCGCGCTCGAGGCCGACCCCAGGGCAGCAAAAGAGAGCGAAATTCCCAACTTCAAAGGCTCATATCTCGGCCGTTTTCCACTCGTTTCGGCTGATTTTTGGACAAGCGATCATCTTTTGGAACGGTCTCGAAGCGCGGATGCTTTTTTCGGAACGCGCGCGCGCGAAACACTCACGTTGAAGCGACGTTGAATCACCCTTTTGCTGCCCAGGCCGACCCGCCGGCCGACGCGGACAAGCCCGTCGAGGTCGCGAAGCTCCGCATCGCGTCCATGATGAACCTCGTGCGCATCTACTTCCAGACGCTGGAGAAGATGGCCCAGGACCGCATCCCGCCGCCGGCCGCGGGCGTCGTCGTGCTCCAGGCCGCGCTCGCGCCGCTCGGCCTCGCGCCATCGGCCTTCGCGGCGCTCGGCACGGGCCTGCCGGAGTGGCCCAAGGTCGCGGCGGCCCTCGGCGACAAGTTCGTCCCCGCCATCATGGCCGAGGCCGGCGTCGACTTCGCGGCCGCCGTCAAGGCCGACGCCGACGGCTCCGCGCCGCTTCCCGTCGACCTCGCCGCGCTCAAGGCGACGATCGACGAGCTCGACCTCGCGAGCCTCGGCGCCTACTACGGCGGCGACCTCCTCCTCCGCCTCGTCCAGTGGCTCAAGTCCCTCTTCGCCCTCTGGGACGTCGTCAAGGCCCAGGTCCAGGCCGCGGCCGACGCCGCCGCGGCCGAGGCCGAGGCCGCCTAAGGGCACGCGCGACCCGCGCCCCCGCCCCCGCGACCGCGCGCCACGCCCTAAGCCCCCCCGCGACCGCGCCGCCCGCGGCGTGCTTCCGGGGTAACATAGCCCGCCAGCGGGATAGGGTAAACGCCGCTCCGGAATCATCGACCTCAAGGCCTACCTCAAGTTCTTGGGATCAGGACTCTGGGACGCCATGGCTAGGTTCTCGTGAGCGGTGCCAGCCTGACCGCGGTGCGGGCCTCCTCCGGTCCTACACGGTCGTCGTCGACCAGGAGCGCCTCGAGCGCGTCGAGACGGAGCAGTGGCGCCAGCTCCTTTTTGCGTTATGCTTCCATTCGATAGAAAACATGTAACATGATGAGCACGACGACGCGAAAGAGCGGGGGCGGTCGCAAGATCTCCCTCGCCTACGACGAGGAGGTCGTCGACGACCCGCAGCGGACGACGACCGACGCCGTGCTGCCCGAGGCCGGCGACAACTGCGCCATCGCCCGCGTCGCGCTCGCCGCGGGCCGCGCCGTGCGCGTCGCCGGCCGCTCGATCACGCTCCGGAGCCGCTGCCCCGAGGGCTGGCGCTTCGCCGTGCGCCGCGTGCCCGCGGGCGCGCCGCTCACCTCGTGGAGCCTGCCGTTCGGCGACGCCGTCCGCGACGTCGCCGCCGGCGACGTGCTCTGCAACGAGGGCGCGCGCGAGGCGCTGCGGGGCCGCGGCATGGACCTGCCGCGCGCGAACTTCGCGGACCGGCTCGACGCGTACGCCGGCGGCGGCGGCCCCGCGGCGCCGGCGCCGCAGGTGCCGCTCGTCGACGACGGCGCGGCGTTCCGCGGCTACGCGCGCCCCGGCGGCGGCGTCGGCACGCGGAACTGCCTCGCGGTCGTGCCCGTCTCCGCGGGCCTCGGCCCGCTCGCGCGGCGCGCGTGCGCGGCGCTCGCCGGCGACGTCGCGGGCCTCGCGAACGTCGACGGCGTCGTCGCGCTCGCGCACACGGAGGGCTCCGGGGGCAGCGGCGCCGCGGCGGCGCGCGGCGACGACGCGCGGCTCCTGCGGACGCTCGCGGGCTTCGCGTCGCACCCCAACGTCTTCGGCGTCGTCGTGCTCGGGACGCCGCTCTCTTCCCCGTTCTCCGCGGCGGCCGTGCTCGCCGCGGCGCCGCGGCCCGCGCCGCGGGCCCTCGCCTACGTCGTCGACGGCGACGCGGAGCGCGCCGTCGCGGACGTCGCCGCCGCGCTCCGGTCCTGGCTCCCCGCGGCGCAGGCCTGCGCGCGCTCGGTCCAGCCGGCGGCGACGTTGGCGGTCGCGCTCCAGTGCGGCGGCTCCGACGCGTTCTCCGGCGTGAGCGGGAACCCGTGCGTCGGCGACGCCGCGCGGCGCGTCGTCGAGCGCGGCGGCCGGTGCCTGCTCGCGGAGACGGACGAGCTCATGGGCGCGGAGGCCTACGTGCTCGCGCGCGTCCGCGACGGCGCCGTCCGCGACGCGTTCCTCGCGCTCGTCGACCGCTACCGCCGCTACCTCGCCGCGCACGGGCAGACGGCGGAGGCGAACCCGTCGGGCGGGAACAAGCAGCGCGGCCTCTACAACATCGCGCTCAAGTCGCTCGGCGCGGCGAAGAAGAAGCACGCGTCGCTGCGCCTCGAGGGCTGCGTCGAGTACGGCGCGCCCCTGCCCGCGCCGCGCGGCTACTACTTCATGGACTCGCCGGGCAACGACCTCGAGTCCGTCGCGGGCCAGGTCGCGGCGGGCTGCACGGTGATCCACTTCGTCACGGGCAACGGGTCCGTCACGAACTTCCCCTTCGCGCCGACGGTCAAGGTCGTGACGACGACGGCGCGCTACGCGCTGCTCGCCGGCGACATGGACTTTGACGCGGGCCGCTACCAGGCCGGCGCGCCCATGGCCGCGCTGGGCCGCGAGCTCTTCGAACTGACGCTCCGTGTCGCGTCGGGCGCGCGGACGCGCGGCGAGGCCGCGGGCCACAGCCAGCTGTCGATCTGGCGCGCGCCGTCGCAGCTGGCCTTCGACGCGACGACGCTGACGGCCCTCGCGGACCGCCACGGCGGGCCCGCCTTCACCGCCGCGGCCGCGGCGGCCCCGCCGCCGCCGCCGCGCGCGGCCGCGCGGCGCGTCGCGCTCGTGCTGCCGACGTCGGTCTGCGCCGGCGAGGTCGCGCGGGCCGTCGCCGCGCGGCTCGACGCCGAGGGGTCGCGCCACGTCGACGGCTTCGCGTCCCTGCCCCACACGGAGGGCTGCGGCGCGGGCCACGCGGGCGACGGGGGCCTGCTCTACGAGCGGCTCATCTTCGGGCACCTCCGGCACCCGCGCGTCGCCGCGGCCGCGCTGCTCGAGCACGGCTGCGAGAAGACGCACAACGACTACGCGCGCGCGCGCCTCTCCGACGGCGAGCGCGCGCGCTACGGCTTCGCGTCCTGCCAGCTCGACGGCGGCAACGCGGGCGCCGAGGCCCGGGTCCGCGCG